TTATGGGATACGCGACCACACGCTCAAATGGTTCCAATCGTATTTAGATCAAAGAAAGCAAATTTGCATGCTAAATAACTGTAAATCTGATATTGAAACAATTCGTTGTAGAGTACCTCAGGGTTCAAATCTTGGACCTCTATTATTTCTCATTTACATAAACGACCTCCCAAACTGCCTAGAAACAACACACTCTAATTTATTTGCTGATGACACAATTTTATCATGTCAAGGGCATTTATCCATAGATATTGAATACAAACTTAACAAAGACCTAGTAAATGCTCAAAAATGGTTATCAGCGAATAAACTAACATTAAACAACGAAAAAACCAAATATATGATTATTGGATCTCGGCAACGATTGAAAAACTTAGATCACGTGCCAAAAATCAGTATAAACGGACATCAAATTAAACGAGTTTATAAAAAGGAAGCTTTGGGTATAGTTATAGACGATAGACTTAGCTGAAATAGGCAAAATGAAGAACAATGCAACAAGATATCAAAAAATATTAATCTTTTAAGAAAAGCCAAAGATTTTGTTGGCCTAGATACGCTCAAAATTATGTATAACGCATTAGTCGCGCCTCATTTTAACTACTGTTCAACTGTTTGGCAAAATAACAACCAAACACACCTTAGACAAATTATATAAGCTTCAGAAACGAGCAGCAAGAATAATAACAAATTCGGACTATACTATAAGATCTTCGGACATTTTTAAAAAACTTAGCTGGAAACCTCTTGACTTAGTTTTGAAAAAGCGAGATCTCCTTATGACATTTAAAGCGATTAATGGCATGCTTCCAGAATACGTAACACAACTATTTCACACTTGCGAAAACAATGGTTACGTACTGCGCAGTAGTAATTTAAAGCTGTCTCAACCTAAACCCAAAACGAATTTCTTGAAAAATAGCTTTTCGTACAGAGGAGCAGCGTATTGGAACAACATCCCAGTAAACTTGTTGAAAACCCTAAGAGAGTCAACAAGTTTAAAATCTGTCCATCATCTATTAAATAATTACATCTTGTAAATAAGTAAATAAGTAAATAAGTATATTTTGTAAATAAGTATAATTTAGTTTATTAGTTTCTTTCTTTTATAATGCATTTATTTTCCGCACGGCCCTTTGAAAATCACCTATGTGAAAGGTTACCGTGTTTAAAGGTCAATAATAATAATAATAATAATAATAATAATATTCGCTGATGACACGAACCTCGCAGTCTCTAGTCACTCCATAGCTGATATCGAAATTGCAGTAAATTCTGATCTAGAAAACCTTAGGAACTGGTCAATAACCATTAAACTTAGTTTGAACGTACAGTAGCTAAGATATAATTTATGTTGATTGGCTCCCCACGAATGATAAGAAATGCTGGTAATTCTTAACCAAATATTTTAATTGAAAACAAACAAAACCCACCAATATAATAAATCCTGAACTCCAGGAACAACAATTGACCAGCATTTATCTTGGAAGCTTAATACTGAAAATATTTGGAAAAAAAATTATCAGAAATCTCAGCTCTACGTCGTGTCAAACCGTTTATTGTTGAAAGAGATACACTTATCTCCATATACAATGCCATCGTACGCCCCTACTTCGATTATTGTTCTGAAGTTTGGGATGTATTTGGTGAAATACAATCTAAACGATTACAAAACAGAGTTGCTCGAATTATTTCAAACATGAGCAATGATGTAGATTATTCTACTGCTTTATGTGCCTTGGGCTTGGAGCCACTGGATGTCATCAGAAAAAAGGAAAAAGCAATAATGTGTACAAAACTCTAAATATAATAGGCCCTGAGTCTCTCACAAACCGCTTCATTTATAAAGGTGAGATAACAAATTTTAAGTGTTCTTTGTCTGCCACGACCACGCACTAATGGCATGAAGTTTCAGTCACGTATGATGTACTAAACTATGGAACTCTATTCTAAATAGAATTAGAGAAAACAAATCCATATCATGCTTTCAAAAGAAAATTATTGCTGCTCACATTTTCTAAAAAAAAGCTTATTTAGTTCTATTATTTGTAAATAACTATTCTACTGTTTCTACTATTTAATTTGTACTACTTAAAACTATTTCTACTATTTATAAATAACTATTCATGTACTGTAAGTACGTCTATACTGCTATAATGTCCTTTCTACAACTGTAATTTTCTTCTTACACGCCCCCCCCCGTGAAAATCAGCTTCGGTTGACAGGGTTAGCGTGGGTAAATAAAGTTTTCTACCCACCTACCTACGTAGCTGCCTGCCTACCAACCTACCTACTTACCTACCTACCTACCTACCTACCTACCTACCTACCTACCTACCTACCTACCTACCTACCTACCTACCTACTTACCTACCTACCTACCTATCAACCTACACGCTTACCTACCTACCTACCTACCTATCTATGCTTAAAAAACTCATTAATAATTCATGAGGAAAATACAAAAATTAAGAAATGAATGTTTAATCAATGTTTGTAAATCGGATAAAGATTTGTCCTGATTCACCTAAACTTCAGCTTTGATTTTCTCGGCTTAGACAATGTTTATTTTTAAAATTACTTCGCCAATAAACTCATAACATGGGTCTTTTTTTAAGCGCGTTAAAACATTCGCAACCGATATTGAGGGCTCTCGCCTTTGGCCCCAGTTTGTATATCAGATAAAGATTGGCTGCTCAACATTGAATTTTGTTTTAAATAGAATGGAGGCACGCCAATTGAGGCTGTAGAAGCAGCAGTTTGTGTTTTGGAGGACCACGAAGATATAAACGCAGGTCGTGGATCAGTATTGAACGATAATGATGAAGTGGAATGCGAAGCAATGATTATGGATGGACACACGTTAGGCTATGGTAGAATTACGCTTTTAGTTTACATGCTGATAACTTTAGTTTGTTCAAGTTCTCCACCCCTAAACAAGCCATGCAGCAACTGTAGGATTTTAGATCTACAAACAGCGCGAGAAAATTCTTTAGACGTGGGAGGTTATGCTCCCCAGAAAATTATCTATTATCTAAGGCTAAGAAACACTATTTTAATTTCCTGCTCATAAACAGTGATACGACTATAATTTTACAGTCTATCTCACAATTGTATTCCAATCCTAAGAATTACAAATACACTCCGGGAGAGCGTGACCAGGAGCATAATAAAAACGTACTTGTGGTAATATTTGTGACGTAATGCGTCTTTTATCCTGCGCTTTAAATTGTTTACATTTATTTCGTGACTAGTTATTCTTGACAATGCTATTTCACGATCTTTGAAATAAATCCTGTTATTTAAAGTTACGCCATTCATTCATTGTATTTAGCTAATCCGTTCCCTTTCCTACTTCTCCATACAACCTAGTCTCAACGACAAAAAGAGCGGCTGCGAGGGTAACTACATACAACCTAACTTTCTTAAATCTTTAGGTGCTGTGACCTCTGGGCGTCATTTTCGTAATCCTATTTCATTCTCCAAATTTATCATGGAAAAAGCAGATCATTGTGTCTTTTGTGGAGATGGAGCTCTGAAATTTGCTGAGAAGGAAGAGTTTCCAGGTATCTGTGATCCCAAAGAACTGATAACCCAAAACGCGATTAATAGAGGGAATGTTACCTACAAGGATTACCCAATGTATGTACAGCATCACTGTTCGGGAACACCAGTGAATGAAACCCAAATTCCGGAAACCCACGATACAGTATCTGCTGTTGCCATGGATGCCGAAGGTCATTTGGCGTGTGCGACATCAACAGGTACATGTAAAGGTGCTATTTTGTGCATCATTTTTAAACCTGGTAAACAAGTATGTTATAATATATGTATATGTCGCCGTTTTCCAGTTCCGGCGCTGTTTCACAATGCATTTTGGGATTTCTGAGGGGGAAAACATTCTCAAACATGCCAAATATATAAATACAAATACTATATGTACGCGACATCTCAGAGCGAAATTTAATCAACTCAGAAACAGCAATAGAGCTTCAAACGGAAGTACGAAGGATACTATAACACGTGAGCAGAAACGATTAATTCTTTTAGATTGCTTTAAACTTCGTCCCAAGACATTCACACGTGGCTAGAATTTCTTCCGTTTCCGGCGCATATTTAAACAGTCGTCCAGTGAAAAATGTTGATCGTTTCTTTCTGCTTACCACCCTTCATGCTTTTCTATAGATGCTATTTTACGGTTTGGTATAAACCTTCAAAATCTTCTGGGCTCTTTTCCAGTAATCATTTCATTACACACAGCCCTAAACTTCGAATGAGCGTCGTCATAGTATTTCTCTCATTACTGGGTAATTTGTCGACACCAGGGTCTTAGCCAGCCAGGGCCAGGGCATTCTTTAACTAAATAACTACTGTGGCATTTACCCCAATAGGCCCTTTGCTTGCCCCAGTAGTGAAGCATGATTTTCAGATGAACTGGGCCCTTTTGATCATTAGTAAAAAGGTTAACCTGGTTGAGAATGCTGTATCTGCCTGCTTTCTCATATCCTCTCACATTCTCGACATTAATTTCCTGTTATAAAAGTCAGCAATGCACGGGCAGGGGCGGTTCTAAAAGTGGGTTGTGGGTGTAGAACACCCGCAATCGTCAAATAGTCGGCAAATTATCTAATACCAGTTGGATGAAAAGAAATACTTATTAGCGTTTGAAATTCGTAGGCAATATTTCACTCCCACCCGCGCGCCCCCTAGCTATTCAAATAGCGCTAGCGCGCGCCGCCCCTGAGCACAGAGTGATTTTTATGTACCCGTATAAACAGTGTGGGGAAAAGGCCCTTAAATTGAGACCAAGCCCCAGTAGTTGTAATTTCTTAAAAAATGCCCTGCTAGGCAGCCCTCCAGCCATCTTTTGGACGGCTAATTTTGATGTAAGACGGCAAATTGTAAATTACTGCTCTTGGACGGCCATTAGTAAATTTGTTCATCAGCGAAAGAGTTATCGTACATGCACACACGACAGCTTTTAGGCCATGGTTTTATCAATTAACACAACTGGAGTCGAATGGCGACGATTAGTCAATTACTACATTTTATCCCTTTACAGTAGTTTTTAGAATGCATACTACCTAGTGACAGTGGTATTGCCGAAAAATATGCAACAACCCTGGTCCCAAAGGGTATTCGTCAGTTACCATGGACCAAAATGTCCAATTTTGACACTCAGTTTTCAGATCCTGGCTAAAACCCCGGGTCGACACTTGCAGAAAATGTCGGTCTCATTTCTTCTTGAGTTGCCATTTTCTGCACCCAAGAACTGCAGTATAACATAAACGTTCGGAGAATATTTTAGCTGTTTAGAACAGTTGATAAACCTACTGCATGAGGGAAGCCAACGGTTTCTGAAAGGCTAAAGCAACAACATTGACAACAGCAATAGCAGAACCAGCAAATTTCTTTCCTTCATTCAGGTGGTATACCAGGAAAATTAAAAGGTCGTATCGGTGATGCCCCGTTAATTGGTTGCGGAGGTTATGCAAATAAAGAAGGAGGAGCAACAACAACTGGACACGGAGAAGCATTAATGAAAATCACTTTGGCAAGAGAAGTTGTTTATAATATGGAAAATGGACAGAATGCTCAGGTTTGGTTTTGAATTCGCAGTATAATACAATACCATTTCACCGTTGCAAGACAACGATAAAGAAGACTGTATATATGCATATCGCATGGTACAACTGCATATTAAATATCCCTTACACAAATGGGGCAAGAAACAAGCATCGTACGGTGTGCTAAACGCCTGTTTACAGGCCATATTTTTTGTCCATGCAAGACTGATAGGTCAAATATGCTTAAAAGCAAGTATTCTATAAATTTAGACATGAGGGTGTTTAATTTAAAATGTCAACTAAATTGAAAATTCCGGAAAATGTTTGAAAACTTTATGCTAGTATGGGTAGTTTGGGGTCTAATTCTGGTATTGTTATCTCAAAATTGTTCGCAAAAGTAAGTTTCGAGTGGAGCAGGGCTGTTTTTTGAAACCATTTTAAAAATGGCTTGCGCACAAAAACAGGGCCGCCCAGAGGTTGGCAGGGGCCCGGGGCAAATTTTTTTTAGGGGGCCCTACCTTAAATAATTTTTCCGGAAAATTTTTTTCCGGATATTATTTTGGCGACCCCCCCCCCGTCGCCAAAAATTTTTCGGTCAGTGTACCATTTTAGAGGTAAAAAAATTTTTCGGACGCAAAATTTTACCGGACGCGTACGTTGCAAACGCTTTCGAGTGACTTTATCTCATTTTTTTAGGCCAAAATTCGGTACTTAGCCCAAGAAAACAGATATCTTGTCCTTTGCGCGGAAATATTTAACACACAAAAAAGGCGGGGCCCCTACAAAAATTTTTCAGGGGCCCCCAGCAACTCGGGGCCCGGGGCAAATTGCCCCCTTTGCCCCCCCCCCCTCTGGGCGGCACTGCACAAAAATGTCATTTGAATTTATTATTGGATGCAAATTTAGTTAGATGCAAATAAAGTACCAGACAATTTGATGTTCACTAAGTCAATCAGTCATATGTGTAACTATTATGGCAATGGCAAAAGGTCCAAGTAATCGAGATTGCGCGTAGGACTTAATGTACATCAAACGAACTGGTATGATCGTTCATAAAATTAAACATGCACCCTCCAAATTTGTACTCTATGAATTCAACTGCGTTTTAAACCGCAAGCAATTACGTTTAAAGTGCAGGTTCTGGAAAACAGCCATGTGGCTCCAAAATTTACTTCTTAAGAATAATTTTGTAATAGAGATGGCAGAAGACCACAAACTACCCATGCATACTAATATAAAGATGCCATAAATTTTGTTGAATTTTCAGTTAAGTGGACATTTTGGATACGCCGGCCCTGTAGAATGTGTCAGTCTCGTTTCATTTCTTGTGCGCGTTTTATTCTGCACGGTGACTGTTGGGGAAACTTACCTTTCACATTAATTGCTTAACAAGTAAAAAGCTTACGTTTTTATACTGGTTATGTTTCACTATGTAGGAATCTGCAGAGAAAGCCGTGAAGAAATTGGGGGATTCCATTAAAGGCTCTGGCGGTGTAATTGCGATTGACAAAAATGGAAAATTTGGAATAGATTTCAATACTAAAGTAATGGTTTGGGCAAGTATCAAGGACAACACCTTGGAATTCGGCATGGAAAAAAATGAAAGAGGAGAAAACATCAGTGAAACTGAGCAGCTGTAATTAATAGCATATGTAGCACTATGAGCAGGCCAAGGACAGTTGCCATCAGTAGATATACACGATTTGATTTAATTTTAAATAATTTTGACATAAAACTAAGTGTCATGTATACGATTTAATTAAAACCATTCATTTGTGAATGCATTAAAAAATACCTGTTTCAGATACTTCACTCATTAGGAGTAAGCAAACATAATTATATTTCTAGTAATAGTAATAGCAATCGTTAACATTATAGTCGAGGTGAATATTCACCAATATAGTCACTGAGCCTTCAGCGAATAATTGTTTTAGTATAATGTTTTTAATTAACGAAATAAAACAAAATATCCAAGTGTCAGATTACTTCAAATATTCAGCAATAAAACGTTTTTCAACCAGTTCACGGTTACTGTTTTTAATATAGTGTATGCAGTGTTTCTTGTACACTCACTCAAAATAGCTTCCTGTGTGACTTTATTCTTGCAGTAATATTCTTAACCATTTTGTTTTGTCTCCATTATCTGGTATTGCATACGGTATAGTTTCTCCTTTGATATGTCACGTTTTTATTGTGCTATACGGTGTCGGTCACGCTGTGTTGTGTTTTCGAAACTTAGAACTAGTGAAAAGTGTGTTAAAACTTGTATTCCAAGCATTAGTTTTCCATTCCATTTTAGTTGCTTATCTCAGTGAATCTCTGCTAAGAATTTATTTATTTATTTATTTATGAGATTTGTCATAAATACTGCACGATAACACTTGGTGTCATCAGCAAACAGGGCTACGGACGATGTCGTGGACTGTTGAGGTAAGTCATTCGCGTACATAAGAAACAAAAGAGATTCAAGTATTGAGCCTTGAGGAACACCTGATAGTACGAACACCGCGGAAAAACGTCTGCGCATGCGTCAACCTTACCTGTAATCTGCCTCGTCCCCAGGCGCAAATAAAAAAAATTTCATGCGAGTCACTATATGAAAGGTTTACATGAAGTAGTGCGTCACATTCTAGGCGCGCAAAGGGGAGTGGGATATGAGCGTTCTGGTTAGCGCCTGGCCGATCTTGTATAAATAGCTGTCGAACATACAAGTAAACAACAGATCTAAATATAAATCCCTTCATGTATATCACCACAAAGAAATAAAGCTATCCTTATCTGAATTATTCAAAATATTGTCGATCGTTTGCATCGTGAAAATCAAATATACTGCATGTAAATAAGCTCGTAACTGAAATCCTGAGACGAATCTTGCAAATGCAATTCAAAATAAAGTCGCATCGCTCCCTTGTTTAAAAAACGTCTTGTAGCTGTATATTTTTAAAATAAATTGCTCGTTGTGATAAAAATTCATTGTCATTTTTCCATACCTTGTAAATTTATTATATAAACTGGCTTCTACAGCCCCGTAGAACTCTTCAAGTGTTGACATCTCGGAATCATTCAAAGCGTTAAAAGATATCAAATATCATCTGACTGTAATCACATGTTTAATTGAACAATTTGAAATGTTGTTTCCTCAAAAAAAATGGCGAAAAAAAGCCCCAAAACTGTCGAAAAACCACGATTTGCAAGAAACAGACGAATTTTGCAAGAAACGGCACAAGATCTCCCAGGCGCTCCTCAATTTTGATACCTCAAGCCCATAACCCCCTGCGCTTGTTCATCGCGATGCACTACTTCATGTAAACCTTTCATATAGTGACTCGCATGAAATTTTTTTTATTTGCGCCTGGGGACGAGGCAGACCTGTAATAGTATTGCGAACTTGATGAGTCTTTACAGCCAGATTTCGAGCGCAAAAATAAACATGTCATTCTAAAAACTAGGAATAAATACAGCCAGAAGATTCAAGAAATTGTATTGTACAAGAACATGAACTAAAGGTGATTGTTGACAAATTTATCGTGTAAAACATTTTGTTTATCAACTAAGCAACGACAATTTCCGAATTTTCGTTTGAGATACATTTCTTTAAAAAAACTGTGTCGCCAAATATAAAAAATTTTCGTGTTCACAATAATTAAACTTTAGGATTTATTCTACAATTTGAGTGGGTTAAGAAGCTTAACTTTTCGAGAGTTTTCTTAACTTTTGAGTTTGAATTTTTGTTTTGAATAATTTTGCAAATATTTTGAAGTCGTGTCCGTTAAAATCAACAATTTTTTACATGAATTATATTTCATTCCATACTTTAAATGCCAGAACGCTTTCGATTAATGTCTAGTCTACCCATTTGCTATATTTCTCGTTTATTTTACTAATTTTTGACCAATTAATAAGCATGTTTTTGTTTTTGAAATTGACATTCAAATTCCCCCAAATATTTTCAATATTTGGTGCATGCGCAGGCGTTTTTCCGCGGTGTTGATAGTACGGGGATTGGACACAATGCTTGTCTAGGACGGTGACTTTCTGATGGCGGTTTCTAAGGTAGTTTTGAAACCAATTAAGCAGGTTTCCACAAATTCCAAAGATACAGTTTTTTTAGTAGAAGCTTATGATCAACTTTGTCAAAAGCTTTTGAGAAATCAAGATAAAGAATATCAGTTTGGACTCTTTGGTCAAGCGATTTCCCAATTTCATGAAGAACTTGCAGCAGCTGACGTGGTAGACCTTCCCCTGAGAAACCCAAATTGAAGGTTATGCAGCTGATTTGACACATGGTTTATAATTTGATCAAAGATGCAACGTTCTACGACTTTTGAAACTATGGGAAGTAAAGATATTGGTCGGAAATTCGAAACATCGTTCTTTACACCACCTTTAGGAATAGGTATTACGTTGGAAATCTTCCATTCTACTTGGATTTTGCCCGAACTCAAACTTTTGTTGAAGAGATCATTAAGCGATGAAGATATATAGGAAGCACAACATTTGAGCAATGTACCTGGAATTTTTTTCTTTTCTTAAGCCCGATTTTCTTACGTCCCCACGATACTTCCAATTTAAATCAGAACCTAATTTTTCAAATAAGGAAATCTGCAGTGAAAATGATTCGTTATTAAAACATGGCCTTTAACCAAAACACTGACCATAGTTAATAGAAGATGGTTTGGAAACTCATTAGAATAACAATACAGGTATAACTCATTATTTATGTTCATGCAAAATAGTCAAAGTTTATGAAAAATATCCTTCATCGTCGCGTGCGTATTGTATTTTTGGCAAATCAACCAATAGAAATTTTTAAATTACCCAATTTTTTCCAAGTCTCGAATAGCTACAACTATGCTAAAACATTGCTATTAGTTGGTTGGGCAAAAATACAATATGTAGCCTACGGACGTGACGATGAAGGACCAAATTGCTGAATAAACCTAAACAAAAACACAGATCAATATATAAGCACGTGACGATGAAGGACCTGCATATTGCTGAACAAACATAAACAAAAACATAGATGAGTTATATAACTTATCTATGCATACCAGCACGAAAATAATATCACTTCATCCACTTTATATTGCCAATTTATTTATAGTATGCAAAATTGCATAATAAATTTCTCTACACTTCAGTCTTACTGAATATACATAAATAATGTTATTAATTTTTATGTCCGCAAAATATTGATAAAAATAACAAAAAAAGCAACTGTCAAGTTGAGAAATATTCAAATAATGCATAATTCTGGTAATCATGTACACATAACCACTTTCCTCTACAAAAACGCATATCCCCAGCCTAGTCCCAGGCTCTCTCTCTATTCGCTGCTTTGGTATATTTAAATAAGTCTTAATTATGCCTGGGTGTGCTGTGCGGAACGCTTCAGCGAGAGAGCCTAGCAGATTTCTGTAAAATGGTCCCTGATTTCAAAAATGTGGTCCCTGGCCTGGTTACCAAGCCTACCGCATTTGTAAATAGAAAATGTTATGGAAATTTCCTTTGCGTTTATAATTAAGTAATTAGTTTTGCTCTAATGTTGTCGGAACAATGAAATAGGCTACGTTTCGCTCCCACACGGTCAAAATGGAATAACGGGCTAAATATGACTCGTGTTTACTAAAATATAAAGCCATATTAAATGCTACCTGGAAGCTTGAAAATTGTGCTTGAAAAGTGTCCGACTAAAAATGTTTTGACAACACAGTCATGTCAGGCAAATATTTCCAATCTCCTTAGCTACTTAAACCTGTCAAGTAGAAAGCGTAGTTGTGTATACCAGTATGCATGGTCTATAGTGTTGATCACAACTTGCGAGTATATAAATAACATAACGATTATGCGACCATTGCTCAGACTCAGCATCGTAAATTTATACAAATTGAGCATTTAATTGAGCACATTTTTAATACAGTTTGAATTTGGATATGTAGACATCGAACATGATCAACGAACATTGTCGTATTTACAAGGTTATTTGTATATATAAATTTTCCGCCATATTAAAGATGCGGTAAAGTCCGTTCTGCGCATATATTCTGCGCATCAAAAACATTCCATCAGTGGGGTAGCAACCTTTGGAATGTTGTTAATATTTCGCCCCTTCCGAACTTTCTTGAATTGAATCTCTAGTCTGTATTCATTTACAAGCATAACGAACCAGAAAAGTGTTAAAAATTCAGTATAATATATATCTAATCATATTTTACAACTGTAGCACTGAGTTCAAAATGTAAACAAAGCGTTTGTTTACATTACGGACTTTACATCACCTTTAAAAATACTGAAATCTGCTAGGCGTTCTGAAGCACCTTTAGCGGTGACGTCACACCTAGGTCCCAGTCTCGTACTACATCCACGTTTTTTTTTTCTCGCGCTTGCTTCAGAACGACTGAGACTAGGCTGGCATATCCCATTGTCATTGATAAATTCCGTGTTGCATAATCCCAAAACCGCCAACTTAAATTTTGAATTTGTGTCACAGCAAGTATCATGACATAACTCAATATACAGTTGCTTGGAGGTAGCTCAAAATGAGATGTTGGCGAAGTCTGCCTTGTCAAAGTACATTGTTTCTCCAATATTTCGTGTAATGGCCTCACGTCCAAGATTTAACATGTCCAAGATTTAACACACTACACTAGCCCAATTGTAATCTCTTTGATATTAAAATTTTCTTGCTATGGGAGGTGGGGATACCTTTTGCGTGTTTAAAATGACAACATTTATAGTCTAATTTTCGGTTGAAAAGGCGTTTCACCCCCTATAATATAGCACATTCTATTTAGAAAATGTAGTTTGACATGCGGCTTCAGAGACAATATAACACATCTTCAATTCAAGTATATGTACTGTATAATAAAATTCATGTTTGGAAATATAGAATTTAGTTGCTGTGTTGAACACTGAACAGAATATTTCAATTCTTCGCTTTGTTGTTCAATGCACGACATTCAGTCCGTTCAACACTCGACACAAATGTCATATTTTTGCGCATCCATGATGTATGGTTCTCTACAGGTTGTAAGGAAATCTAACTTTGGCATGTTAACGTGCGCTGTGGATCATGTTTAATTTTTTCATACCAGTTGATTTCAGGCTTTTATCTGTCAAATAAAACCTCTTTTGTATTAATTGTGATTGAAAGTAGCCGCCAATACGTACGATCGGATTTAAAGTGTTCGGTCGAATTTTTTCACCTTTGGGAGTTGAATACAAAGCAATTGTCTAAGTATTCAAATTATCATTTCGGATTCAAATTAAAGAATTTAAACAACCAACATGGCGTAAGATGCGTGATGGTCATCAAGTCTTGGTAGTTTTCAAGTCGCGATTTAACGAAACTTCGTGGTTAAAACATTTTACAGAACTGCATGAAGTTTGTAGACTAAACTTTCGATGCCAAATGTTTCTAAATAAGCACCTATTAGGTGGAAAAATTCGATTTCGATCAACCACTTTAAATCGGATTGTATTTGACCAATTTGATCGCACCGATATAAAAAGGTGTCATTTGACAGCCAATAGCCTCATCTTTATTAGTAGGAAAAAAGTATCTATAAACGTCATACCTAATGGCTAATGCAACATAACATGTCAAGGTTGTATTACCATTTTTATACACCCTGCATGTTATACATGTATATCCGGTATTATTAAAGCCAGTGTTCATTACTCCAGTTCAATTAAGCGATCTCCTTCCTGAATCTTATCTCCGGGTTTGCAATTTACTTTCTTTACTTTGCCGGATTTCTGGACGCACAAACTATTTTGCATCTTCATTGCTTCAACTACACAGACTTCTTCACCTTCAACAACCTAGATGCGTTAAAAGGCATAATATTGGAGTATATAGATGGATAATCCAAGTGATTATATAGGTGGATGGATAATCCAAATGATTATGGCCCCATTAAACTCTGCGCATGTCTGGATGCGTTGATGTGATCGTGTTGTATACCGCATGCCTTGGTGAGAGCAAGCTCATGTGATATAAATACGAGTGCATCGCGTATATATAAACGTGTACCAAGCTGCACTGACGAAGCATAGACGCCAAAACAAACATCATTTCGATATTCATAGATTGCTAACATCAAATGTTAGATTGACTGAAAAAGCGTACGTGATAAAACTCTGTTGAGAAACGATCTTCTAAACAGCTGCATATCAAATACTGACTCTCTGACAAATGGTTAATTTACCTCTTGGCCTGGTTCACAGGATACTGATATGACTGTCCCTGGCATTGGTGAATCTAGGAATGGCGTCAGGTCTTCCTAAAATGAAAAACAACTGTATAAATTGACACAGTCACTAATTCTTCGCTTGCAATGGACAACTTGCATGTTAGACTAAATTTTAATCTAAGTAAAGGGAATCAAACACCACAGCTAAAATGAACAAAATGAAATATTGAAATTAGTAAAATTGCAAAATTTGGTTGTGAAACGTTGTAAAGATTGGAAAATATAGTCTTGCAAAGTTTCCAAATTTTGTATATGTTTGTAATACGTGCGGAAGTTGTTACCATTTTTGGTCTTGTCTAAAAGTACACGTACACGAGTGACCACGAATGACCACGAGTGATTCTGTGTTTAAAAATCATAAAATAATAATAAAACTGATTTAAAGGTGGCTGCCTCGGGTTTTTGCATTATACTACACTATAGTATCCAGAAAAGTCTGTTTCTTCACTTTACATAATATAAAAACGAAATTTATTGGACACATTGACAATGCTCTCCTGCACATTGCAATTTGATGATTTTCCGCTGAAAGTCCGTTATCATGGCAACAGGGTGCTTAGGGTAATTTTCCGGCCATTTTAAAAATTCCGTTCGGTAAATTTTTTTAAAATTTTGAATAAAAGATAATTCTTGTATTATGATTTTTCTTTAATTTTAGAAATTCTATCGAACTGAAAATTTCAAAGACGTCACAAATCAATATATTTAGGAGAAATTTAGGTTTAATTTTGGCATTTTTGCGAGATGTGACATGTACAATTATCACATCTGATGTGTACAATAGTCGAAAAACTCACTAAAAAAATTACCGAAGGGAATTTTTAAAATGGCCAGAAAAAGACAGCCTTTATCCTTTTAAGCACGCTGTTGCCATGGTAACGGCCTTTCAACACAAAAGTAGCAAATTGAAATGTCCAGGAGAGCATTGTCAATTCGTCTTCATATCATGTAAAGTGAAGAAACAGCACTTTTCTAGATACTGCAGTATAGTATCATGCAAAAACCCTAGGGAGCCATAATTTTTACTTTATGATTTTTAAACACAGAATCACCCGTGGTCATGCGTGGTCACTTGTGTGTTCTTTTAGACAAGTTCGCCATTTTTAGTTCAAAAACGGTAACAATTTCTGCACCTAATACACATGCATATATACAAAATATGCAAACTTCGCCAACTTATATTTTCCGTATTTTACAATATTGTGTAACCAAATGTTGCAATTTGACTAACTTTAATAAGTTATTTAGGGGAATTTTTTTTGCCTAGATCAAAAATTAGTCTAAAATGCAAGTTGTCTATTGAAATATGAACAAACATGGTGAAATCTTTGGTTTCTCTGTGGATCTTGTAAAAGATTATATAACACTATATTTACCAGTTCTAAAGGATGAACTTTTCTGATTGTGAGACAAAAACGTATATACTTACGATATGCAGATAATTATGTCTTAATATACCTTTGGTTTTTCTAACATATGTTTAGAATATTCATTCTGAGCTTCGTCAATAACAGTCACGTTGAACTAAAAATAATGTTTAAATGTCAACAATTGATAATGCTATATTATCAACTACAACATACGATATTATGTGTACAACTTTTATTATACAAAGAATGAAAAAAATTATCACATACAAATTCTTAAGTAGGTTACCTTAGAGCCATAATGCTGTAGCTGCAGATGTTGACCTGATCGAGCCAAGCTCTATATTAATGATATTTATATTAGTGCGTTCATATGCGTTTATATATATGAGAGTTCGAAAATATTTTAAAGGAAATTATAAAGGAAAACCGCTTGAAAATCCCAACTAACCATTTAAATGTCTTGTATGTAGTTTTTTGTTAGCTTTCTATTGATGCAAGTCATTTGTATTAGAAATGTATCAGAAATTTCACATTTTTTAACTGTAATAGAGTTTAATACAAAATTCGAAGAAAAACGTGTCGGCAGGAGCCCACAAGAAATTTTAACGCGGCCAACATACAGAAACGTACTTACTAGCCTTCAGGGCACAATATGAAGGCAAAATAGAATTGTCCCACTATATGGTAAGTTTTCCATAATTTTGAGCCTCTATCTGCCTTGACTATTTGAGTATGCCGATTGGCTACCTCAGCAGTAACTCTGAGGTAATATAGTTACTGCTCAGACAGCTCTGAGCAGTTGCTCTGAGCAGTAACTATTGCTTTTTCCTAAAAAATGGCTGAAAATCAGACGGTAGTAAATTATTTATACAAATTATATTCATAAAATAAACACGTATTAGTTGTATTTTAAATCAAACTTTTTCAATACTGAAATTATACTAAAACAATTAGTCGCCTCAGGCTCGGTGATTACTAACTTCTTACTAACCGAACGCGAGGACTGTACAGAGAAATATCGGACCGAGGTCTTTTTTGTACAGACCGAGCCCGTAGGGCCAATATTTCTCTGTCCATACTGAGTAAGCGACGTTAATAAAAAGTTTATTATATGACATTTATAGGCATTTATACTTGAAACAAACAAAAAATACATGATTTGAAATGCATATTAGTAGCGTGGTGTACACATGATTTGAAATGCATATTAGTAGCGTGGTCGAAGAAAACAAAAATAACAATGTATTCTTTCTTATCCACTAAAAACCATTCGCAGATATTTTATTAATAACAAAATAAATTATAATTTTCAAATTTACAATTACCGCTGGTCCATTACGGGAAAATAATGGACCGCTGAAAGTGCTTCTTGGTCAATCACAGTCCGCCATTTCACCGGAAGTGATGCTTGCCAAATAATAAAAGCCTATGTTTGTAATCACCTGGCCTTCGGCGACTAATTGTTAAAGATTAAACCTTGTACCACGCCTGAACTGGATCTTGGGTAATTTAAGTAGAAGAAATACGTAAAAGTAGCAGAGCTGCTCCGGCTCTATCTCTAAAACCGGATATAGACGAGCATGTTTACTACTATAAGTTCCGAAATGGCAAGTTATATTTGCGAGTGGAATGTTTGTATCTACAACAAATTTTCTAAGACAAGCTTTCGGTTTTCTGGCCGACCTAATAACTACTACAACAACATATCAATTATATAGATTTTATTAGATACATCAAAGAATTCCAATTTTTATATAAACTTATTTCCATCAATAATATGAACGGAAATATAGCAGGGACTTAATGATTTTACTTAACTTTGGTTGTTTCATACAGCTTGTCTGTATTTTCTACTATCATATATTTTTTGACAAAAATCAAATTTTCAACGCAACATTGATCGAAAAAACTTGTTTATCGTACGCAGGAGCAAGTGAACTCGTCAACGAAAACTTATTCGTCGGTGCGGGACGTTAAGCAAAAGAAAATGAAACAGTACAATTTCTGTAACAGCTAACCTGTAATATTACTTCCTTTCCATTTATTTTTGTTTCAACAAGATGAGAAGCAAGGTTAGATGCACATTCAAATTCCAGCTCTGTACCATCTATGTTCATCTGTAAAATTCATAACTGTCTTATAACTATTTTACATGTCGATTAACTTGTAGTTATCGGTTTGCCGTAAAACCGATACCAATTACAATAAGGCAAATTCACACGATACGACTGCATGGTCGAATACGATTGTCATTTTGGCGTATGACAACGACTGCCGACACCACCATTCCTGTTCACCAGCCATGGTGAAAATTGGAATGTGACATCTTTACACGTATTTATTCGAGTACATATAGAAGTAGGCGGTGACGGTCTTTGTAGGTTTAAATTGAAAGAAGGTAAAAGTTCTTCAGCAAACCGTTCAAGCACTTACGTCAGCAACCGTTAATGTGCAAATCAAACGGAAAATATTTCTAAACCTTGTTCATTGTTCATGATAGTTTGGAAACGGTAGTAATTGTGGAGCAAACTATAGGTTTTTATTTCACAATGCCAAAATACATACCCGGTAACTCTTATCGAGAATTTCTACTTCAACCTTGTGTCTCTGTTCATCTAGAAGTACAAACACTGTCCACTTATCAGGATCTAGGGCTTCACTTGATGGTCTGAAAATAAATTGCAATTTAAGTTAGGTTTATTACACTGTGTTACGACTGATCTGTTTCATTCGTCAGAGCAAGCACCTCTGAGAACGTGGTTTCGATTCTCGCCACGGGCCCATGTGAAATGAGTCTGACGCTGAAAATGTCATGAAAATCATCTTAACATATACGGTGTGTACAATAACACAACTTGATTTCACAGACTTTGCTTTTCTGTTATTTTCAATATTTTTCTATTTTGTTTATGTTTTTATCTTCGCTCTTTCGGCGGAGTTGCGGGTGGGTTAAAGGTTAATGAAGGCGAAACAGAACTTTTGTGTGAGTGTTTTAGTTGTAAGTCAGCAGGGATACAATAGTATACTTAATGAGTTAGAGTTGCCAAATTTAAATGTAAGAAGACACAATCAATTATGTAAGATATAATATATAGTACACAGATATTATTCAATAAACCAACTGTTTTTCTGAGGTCGGCTATAGACCCTTTGTCCCTTTGCACTGAAGTCACAAATCCTTAGAGTGTCTTCCAGATGCTACTTATAACAATATCTGTTCGGGTACAACAACCACATACAGCGAAAAAATTAACCATTTTAATACAAAATTATTATAAACTTTTACAAAATTTGCTTTGTTCACAAAAGTTGTATTATGAAAGTATGTAAGATGCATCGTTACTGGCGCTGTGACGTCAAGTGCAATGTGTCTATTTTGCGAGTCTGCGAGTTGCGAGTCTGCGCATCACAGCACAGGCCCCGGGTTATTTTTTATTCAACATGCAGTTTAATAGTTATATAGTTGTTTATATTTTTAGCCCGCATAGCATTGGAACATTTCGGCGCACCTGCTCTTGGGGTCAAAATAGGTCAGATTTGCACACGCCCTAAAAGTTTCTTCGATCCTTCGACTTTAAATGCATCTCTTTCCAATTTAATCGATATCCTCAGCAAGAATGATAACATGCATGTACGGTGTACTTTAATATCTTTATGTGTTAGTTGATGTGATTTGAGCACGATTTCTTTTAATACCCCCAGTCATAAGACACAGAGTGCTCTCAAAATGCACAGGTAAAGGTAAATTAATTTTATTTCTCAGCTTGTTTCAAACTGTACTTGCGTCGTAAGTTTGACAAACAAGTCGTTTGATTATTACACCCCCTTCAGGACTCTCAACAATCAACATTCAATACGAACTCTTTGCAGACGCTATAATCGAGATTACTGATTAAAAACGAAATAATGGCTGATATAGTATACCCCTAGGGACCCTGTAAATGGAGCAATAAGCTCTGTAGGGTTAACCTGTCATTTATGACTAAGTTTGTAAAAAAAAAAAAAATGCCACAGATATTCTACCCTAGGCTCATTCTAGCTTTAAAAAATTATGAAAGCGAATTTGTATGATAATTTCTGTGTGGAAAGTGTCGCACATCACTTATTATAAAATAAGTTTACCTCGGAGTACAATACAGTTACACTCACGGTCCTAACGGATTCAAAATGTTGTGGTCATTAAACACTGCTCGTGTTTTCGTAATATGTGCTTGAACAAAACAATTTATCCAGCTGAGTGGACTAAGTCAACAGTTATATTAAATTTACAATACGAGATCGCAATATTGGTTTCCACCGTAATAGATACGCCGATATACACATACGTCGTGCTGCTAATAATATTTAATCATCTAAACCATTTTGCACTTTGCCAAATGCTCGTCCGAAGTAATCACCCCATCAACAAAGCAATTTTGTCATAATGATATACACGCCGATATGTTAGCTTAAACTATTAAGCATCCATCTGCTTATGCACTAGTATGTTTATACGATCAAGTCTTCAGTGATATATTGAAGCACAGCCATTCCATCTATTTTTGAAAGAGAAAATTAAAAATGGTAATAATGTTCGCATGATCTAGCGAATTTCACAAAAGACTGTTCTGATGAGTTAAATAGAATTAAAGCAATCAAGACAGCTAAAAATTAACATATATATTACAACACATATCACTTAGTTGAACTTCCGTACGCTTTTCCAAGCCAACGTATAATATATTCGTTTAGTTGTATTATGCAAATAAGGTCTTCATTGTTAATTAATTTATTAACGAAAAAAGGCATGCATGCCTAATTTAGAATATAAATAAAATAATCAATCTCTAATAAAAGTTACAATTGTCTGTTTGATTGAAAGAAAAGAAACATGGATATGTATTCTAACTTCAACGTCTCTCTTCACAATGATACACCAATAGAGCGTGAAACAGGATTTGAATTTATAACAACACCTGCTGTCATCGCCATTGTTGTATCAATAATCGACGGAGTATTGATTCTTTTTGGTGCAACAATTAACCTCGCCGTTATAGTAGCAATTGTGAGGCATCATCGTGAATTAAAAACCATGGACCTGTTTATCCTAAATTTATGCCTTTCTGATTTCGTTAGTAGTATATTTTACCAACCGTTGGTCATAACTCGACTACTAGCTCGCAGTGCACAAAGTCACATCCACACTGGAGTCTTCAGAATGGCTACATTTAGTTGCCTTCTTGTCGATTGTGCTGCATTATTTCTAGTCACCTTCGATAAATATCTTGGCATCAGATTTCCATTCCGTTATCACATGTATTTCAGAAAGCAATATGTAGTCGCGATAATCACTTGTGGTTGGGTCATAGCAACAGCAATTGGACTGACATTTGCGTTGTTGGACCAAGCGGCAAAGATTGCAGGAATCATTTACGGCCTATTGCTCCTAATAATGTTCATCCTCACGCCAGTCTTGCAAATTGCATCTTTCTTTATCGCCAAGCGACATGAGCGACGAATACAGCGAATGGAAAAGGTGGTTGCTAACTGCGATTGTACAAGGGAACCGAAACCAGCAGACGAGATTCCTTCGATCGACAATATTAATGCTGGAACAGCCCACAGTTCCATCAACAATTCCAAGCCAGTTCATCCATTTACCAGCAAAGCAGCTAGAACAATAACTATTCTGACTACGGTATTTATCATAAGTTGGTTACCACAGATTGTACTCAATGTTTATTTCATGATAACATTTGATGGGAAAACCTTTTTCCGTTTCATTTATCTTTTTGTCGCATTTCAACAACTTCACGTATGTATTAATCCTTTCATCTATGTATTCAGAACTCAGTGCATTCGAAATAAGTTTTTTGGAACAAGAAATGAAATAGGAGATTGCTCAGTTCACTAGTGATTTACATGGTATATAAAGAACATGAAAACATTATTCATCTGAAACGAGGAGTGTCTGCATTGCCAAGGCCTTTGGTACTGTGCAGCATGTGCATTAAATAAATAGCTACCAGCTCTGGGAATCGACGGGACTGACTTTCAACGGTTTTCCTCATACTGTACTATAATTGATTATGCAATTCGATAAATGTATATACACCGACAGTTCAGGAGTAGACTCATAAACTCTTGGGCATAGCACTTGACTCGAATCTTGTTGAACAGCCCACACGGATGAAATAAGTAAAAATTAAAGTATCGTCTACAATTGGTAAACTGAGAAGACTTAGGCAATATTTTACTAAGAAAATCCCAACAGTCCCAAATACAACCGCCTTTCCCTTATTTGATTACTACGCAGTTTTCTGGAACTCATGCAACTACAAGGCTTTGACAAAGTTCCGAAGGTTGTACAAGCCAGCTAGATATACCCCTTCAAGCAATCCAAGGTCATCTTCTGAGGCTGAACTTACTGAGTTTAAATGGACTCCACCTGCTCAAAAAAAAAGCTTTCTTCAGGCAACACTGTTGTGTAAATTATGAAATAGAAGGAATTGGCCTCAACTATACAAGACATATAACGACATCCACAGTTACAACACCAGAAGAAAAAAAGAAGAATTTCTACTACCTAAACGAAATTCTAGTAATTGAAAATCATTCCTCTACGTACCCGTCTGCATAATTATGAAACTCAACGCCACTGTCATTGCAAACTTAAGACTATTTTTAAACCAAACTATCAAGCTATTTATTTATATTACTCTTATTTGTTGTCATTTGTACATGTTTGCATCTGTATAATATATTATTGTATATAATTATTATGTATTTTAATGTAGCCGAATATACATTTTAGCAATCGGTCAATGTGGTAATACAGGTCCTCTTAAATGGGACCACAGTTAACGTATGCGACTGATTTTGAAGTGAATAGATTTAGTCTGTTTTAGTAAACTTTTATTTAGAATATACAAAATTAAAGTTCACAGATTAGTACATGAAGTGCGCGCTATAGTTCGGTGCTAGCTGAACTGTCAAGCTACACTTGGCCGCAAGACAGTCAAAACAAACTAGAAAAACAAAATGAATCCTTCTTTCTATCCTTTATTCACAGAGTACGGTTATAACGAAACTTTCTTTCACGTTCACGTAGAAAAGAGAACTACACGATCACGAATCACGCATTACGAAAATCATCGATCACGCACGTTTCACTGCAAAGTAAAATTTCAAATTGATGTCGAGCAACTTAAATATGTAAAACATTTAATTTTTATTTGATGGAACTTATTTCACTACTATATAGTATATTATCTAATCTGGTTAAATATAAAAAATTGTATTTAGGACGACTAGGGTGTACTGTTTTTTTTACTTTTAAGAGGCAGTCCGTGTAAAAACCGACCACTCGAATTTCTTGAGATTACAGATTCCTTCAAACTTTCTGTGTGGAAGAAGTCATTCATAAAATGAACAAAAAACGTTGACTTTGAAATTGTAGTCAATTTTAAAATTTTTTTCGCAATTATTTTCGGACGCGTTCGAAAACAAGTTAAAACGTTTAAATTACGCAAGTGATATTTGAGCTTTTTTATATCTCACAGTTCATCTCGTGCTTTTATTCTAACTTCTTGAAACTTACATATTTTATATTTCCTGCCTAGGCATAACCCTAAACTAAAAATTATGCTGATCACTTGAAGCAAACAAAATATTGTGTATTTTTAAAAACGTCTTTTAGACAGCGGATTAAATATTCGTGTTAGTATATGCTGGCGGTAAATTATTTTTTCTCAAAAGTGCAACGGTATCAGGTATCCAATCTATTGCAGCTACTGAGTATTATGACACATCTACTAGAATAAATAATAAAATCTTTAGGCAGTGTGATTTTCACTTGACAAGCGCGTCATGAATATAGTCAATTTTCGCTAATTCGACTAATTATAAGCTATAATTTGTTAATGCAAGTACTTAAATTTTTCGCGTTAAAAACATACAAAATTGTTGACTATCTTTCAGATATGGCTGTTCTTTGGATAAATACTAAGTTATAAATATGCCAGCATTTATGCTAGCTTTACAACATAGAGCAAAAGTCTTGACGCATGTGCCGACTGAAATTAGCATGCACACGTTGCTAATTTTATCCGCCGGTATTATCTTTTTATTATTTATCAGTGTATGAAGCACTGTAAACATACTGATCTTGGCAACTAAAACTATATGCAACGATTTCCTCCGAATGTACACATCTATCACAAGCGAATATTAGAACAAAGTATATTATACAATTTATTAGAGAGTAATGTTTTTCGCGTGAAAAGCGGTTCATATAATCCCCGTCATCGCTTGAAGTCTGTCAACGCGTAATTTCAAGTTTTTCTTCGCTTTCTTAACAGTATATTTATATCGTAAAATCATTACAATCTTAACTCGTTGAAGTTGGGGGGGGGGGTTAAAACCCCCAAAGAAAAGTCAAGAAAAGGGTCCAAATATTTTCGGGCAATATAGACCACAGTAGCCTACGGTGTAGACCCCAGCAGAAACACGTTTCGTGAGGGGTCTACGAATAAACGAAGAAAAGCTTGCCCGGCCTACGTCATATCCGTTTTACGTTTTGGGTAAATTAACTTCAATTTATTCAAATTTCTGAAGCGTGCGTGAATGTAAATTTTCATTTGGCGCTTATTAAAGACATTAAAATGTTCCATGGCGGGCATTGTGCAATACAAATGTGTTCTTTACTTCAAAGTCCCGTCGAATAAAAGCGATATTAATTTCTTGGACAGCAAGGTCACTGTACGTAAGGACTAAGGAGTTAGACGACCTTCCCTTCTCCATTTCACCCGCCTGGCGTTGGTAAACAAACGGTGAAACGCAGAAGCTTCAAAGAACGGTTTAATATGTGAACTAGAGCCTAGACAATACGATAACCAACGTGCACGAAACAGCATTAGGCGCTATTGATAAATGTCGTGAACTATTTAGTGTGAAATCGACTTTGTCTTCGACTTCGGAAATTGGATATCTTGAGTATTCTTGACAAGTTTTAAGCCTTATATATATCCTTTAACAGTCCTGACAATGTAAATCCCCAACACGATGGATCAACTAAAATAAATCACCCATCTGGTGCATTATCAACCCCAGTTAATGTAGATAACCTGCCCGCTGAGGAAAGTTTCCCTACAGTTATCATTGAAATAAAGAACAATGCCCTATTATCCACACAACAATCTAAGACTACAATCAACTCCTTCAAAAAAGATTACTCATTAAGCCTGGACCGCGAGCCTTTTCAGGCTAAGAATGTTTTAAACTATTTGCCCTTATGCGAAGATCTAAGTATAATCGAAGATGTTTCTGCAAACCTCACTTTTGACGAAAATGAATTAGATCAGCGTGAGCAGGATTTATCCGATGGGTGTCAACATTTCAAGCAACGTGGGAAGCAAGACATATGTAGGAATTGCGACCGATCCTATGCAAAAACCGTGTTAAGCCTTGATGCCCTTAACCCTGACCAGGTGAATCCCCGATCGGATAGGTCAATCAGCGAGTCAAATCTAAAGCATTCTTCGTCCCCTCATCTTCCAGCCCCGAGACCCTCAAGTCTTAGACACGGTCAAGTTACAAACCCCTTAGGGTTTCGAAGGCACCATTGTAGCCGGTATCCTTTTTTAAAACTTTGTCGTGTCATTCCTTCGTATCGGACAGCCCACCGCCACCACTCTCTAGAGTGGTTGGCCCATCTCCACACAGTGGCCTGTTTGACGAGTCAGCAGCAGACAATATGATGAAAATACCTGTTAGAATCACTTCACGTCAGAGACCATCACGTCAGAGACTATCATATCAACTAACCATTAATAATTCTTCTAGTGTTAACAATAACTTGGAAAATAGAAATCTTGTTCGTGTTCCTTTGTCCAACCCTGCCTCTCCAAACGCTTCCGCACTCTCGTGGTCACTCACGTCGAAAACCACTAATGATACGGCCTCAGCCCATTTAACAAAAAAATCAGATAACAGCCTCAGTACCCTTCCAGGTCTCAAACTGGTCCACCTAAACATCCGCTCTCTGAAAAATAACGCTCATTTTTTAGAATTACGTAAGTTTACCAAATTTAACAAAATTGACGTCCTTACAGTATCAGAGACATGGTTAAATACCTCCGTCACAAACAAGGAAATAGAAATCGAAGGTTATAAGCTACATCGTTTAGACCGATTGCACAAGAAAGGGGGCGGGGTATGTGCTTACGTACGAAAACATATTAAATCTCTTGTACTTAAAGACCTCAGTTATATCTCCGAGACGAATTTCCATCAATTATGGATCAAATTACAGCACAAAAAATCTAAATCACTGTTGGTCTGTGTCTCTTATCGACCCCCAGACAGCCCGCTTGACTGCTTCGAAAAATATTTTTAACCTAATTATGTTCATGCTCTGACGATGGGAAAGTTGAGCATTCTTCTTGGAGACCTAAACTGCGATATGCTTAAGCCCACACCTGGATCAGCGTCTTTGATCAAGACGACAAAAGAACTCAACCTTAACCAGTTAATAAAATCACCAACAAGAATTACTGAATCCAGTCAGACCCTCGTCGACGTTATTTTCGTATCCTCGCCAAGACTAGTAGTCAACAGCGGCGTCATAGAAACCTGTATCAGCGATCATTTCCTGTGTATGTATCATTAAAACTTAAAACCGACAAATCTCCACCAAACTATATCACTACCCGCAGCTACAATAAATACGACCCTGATTTGTTCGCGATCGATCTGGCATCCAACCGTGATCGTCTTGTTTCCATTTTCAGAATGGACAATGTTGATGAAAAACTACCCATTTTTAATGAAATATTTTTAAATACATTGGATAAACACGCCCCAGTAAAGACCATAAAAGTACGCGGAAAATCTTGCCCATTTATCACCCCGGAAATAAAAGCATCCATGATCAAAAGAGACCAGCTCCATAGTCTTTTCAGGAAAACACGCGATCATTATGATTGGCTTAATTTCAGAGAGGCCCGCAATTTTACAAAAACCGCACTTGTTAATGC